TTAGAAAGTGAAACATTAGGTCAATCATGTTTTGGATACTTAAGGTAATGTAAATAAAGTAGCTTAATTTTTCTATTTTTTTTTTATTTATTATACTTCAAAATCCTCTCTTACTAAAATGCCATTCAGAATTGAGGCCGGTGCGGTTATGGAATTTTGATACCGAGCCCAACACAAATACCAGACAACGGTTATTATGTGGGTACAGCAACCCACTGTATGTTGTCCAGAAGTGCAACTGCAATAATAACCTGCAATCATCTCATCTCAACTTGTCCCTTGTCTCGCCAACAATATATATATATATATATATATATATATATATATATATATATATATATATATATATATATATATATATATATATATATAATAAGCTATGCCCGAGTGATGGCGAGATTTTATACGGCCTCTTATTAAAACAGAGTCTTGTTGGGATGATAGTAATTGAGTCACAACTTATCTGCTACCCAGTCTTCGTTGACACCAAACATACAATATACTAATAGTATTGGCATTAGGGCGCTGGAGCTCATTTTTAAGATTTGTGCCGACAGATAATTCTTGTAATACGTTTGCAAAACATTGTGAACATATTGTGCATTTTTTTTCATCCATCTAGAACAACACAGTCTAATTTTAATAAACTATCTATACTGCAGAAACGCATTTTAAACAGTTCAACATGTTTTAACAGGTGAACTGAAAGATAATTACATCATATTAAGATTTTGCAGCCATTATGAACTTATGTAGAAATTAATAATTACTAACAGACTACAGAAGATAGAAGTATGTCATTCAAATGCGTTTAATAGCTTAAAGAAACATCTTTCTTTGATTCTACAGAAAACATATGTCCGATATCAACGAAATCAAAATCTCACGTAAATCGTTAAGTCCATAAAACAAAAGCAGAGTCAAACAAGTAGTAACTGATCCAAAGTCTAAACAAAAAACCAAATCGTCAAAGGAATCCACAATTAAACGCATTCACGAGTTCAAAATTACACAACCAAGCTCGGAATAAATAAAAATATCATTTGACAGAAATGACATTTGACAAATAACCGTGTCTTATTTACTTTTTTTATGACTGGAAGGGCACCATTTTGTAAAACCATCAAAAACTTGGGATTGCATTTTTATTTTTAGCAAGTTATTTAGTTTGATTTATTCTCTCATTTTATTTTTAACAAAATCCCTGAATTTTGTCTTTTTTACGGTACACTGTATATAGACTGGGCCAGAAATAGACTGTCTCCTTTGGCAGGCAGAATGTATCGGAACTTTAGGCTTTAATAATACTTTTGTAACATCTACCTACATTCTAAGCAAATAAATAATTATGAATTATGAAAAACAATGTTTGTGAATGTTGTGTTTCAACTGTCCTAGACCACTTGAAAGTCACTAAGTTTGCACTATTTGGATCGTAAAACTTTCTTACCTTCCGAAATTACACTCGTATAGGCGAGTATGTAAAATATCGTTCATGGAACAAGTCCAATAACGATATTTGTAGTGAAACAAACTGACGGTACTTCATTTGGAAACCTATTATAAAAACTAAAAATAATAAAATAAATTTCACGTAATAGTTACAGAAGACGGTGCTTGACATTATGTAATCAAGAATTAAAGCCTACATTTTAGAAGCTTTTAAAAAGTAGATTTTTTTTGTATCTTTTAGTAATATCACTAGACTAAGAATATCAGAAGTTCAAGGTAGCAACTAGAATGCCGTTTAAATAGGTACATTAAAAACTTCGTTCCCTATTTTTCCAACATAAGGAATAGAGCCATGCTGCAGCTATATTATGGTTGTAGCACGAATGGGTCGGCTCGACCGGGGAAGAACCACGCTCTCACAGAAAACCAGCGTAAAATAGCAGCTTAACGCTGCTGTGTTTCGTATGGTGAGTGTAGAGAACCGGAGACCCTTTTTACTGGCAAAGAGGCATTCCATCTTAGTCCTCACGGGTGACAACGCATCTGCATCTTGAGTCTTTATTGAGGATAGATGTACATGTCTATGGGTCACAGTAACCACTTACCATCAGGTGGACTGTGTGCTCGTTTGTCACCCGATCCTATAAAAAAAAAAAGAATTGAATTATTTTCATCGATTACTAAAGCAAAGATACAGTCAGTAACTAAGTTATTGCAATTGAGTGACTAAGTAGCCAAATATAGGAAATACTATATAGATTATTTGGCCACCGATAGGGGAAACCCCTACTATCTCGTATAATATTGTTACGAGCTTGGGGTTCGAGACAATTAAAAACTGCCGATGGAATTACCAAAATTGACACTTTAATTACACAACACTAATTACAATCTAAAATCACACTAATAATAAAACACAGTTCGCCGTTATTTCGCTTCGAAGTATTCTCTTGTATCGCCAATTCAATACTGCCTCGGTCGTGGTCTATACCGGCCTTATACAGGGCCTCAGATAGTTTCCAGAATCTTCTACTGTAGCGACATCTAGAATGTTCGAGTACATATCGGTCCTGAAAGTTCTGGAAGTTCTGCTACTCGACACTAGAGGGCGCTAGTGTAACTAGTGTTGCCATGTACAAGACATTAATAGTGGCGCGCAATGCTTTCATTTACACGACACTAGAGGGCACTAGTGTAACTAGTGTTGCCATGTACAAGACATTAATAGTGGCGCGCAACACTGCCCCCTCCTAAGACATGCTCGTCCCGAGCATTATTGGCCCCATAATAACGCGCCAGTCGATCCACATGGACAATCTTAGGAGTACCTCTGGCACCTTTCTGTATCCGGTAGGTTACATCATTGATCCTTGTCACAATCCGGTACGGTCCGTCCCATTTAGCTTGAAGCTTAGGAGATTTCCCTTTGCTGCGAACTGGATTGTGTAACCACACTAGTGAACCTTCATCAAACCCCTTGTCGTTCATTTTGCGGTCATACCGTGTTTTCATCTTCTCAGACGTTTGCTGGCCCGTCTGTCTGACGTGCTCATAAATGTCATTCATTTTGTTCCGCAAGTCATTTGCATAATCGGTTATACTGCGTGGGGCATCAGGTGGTATTCCGGTGATCAGGTCTGCAGGCAGCCGTAATTCTCTCCCAAAGTTTGCAAAAGCTGGCGTCACTGACGTACTTTCGTGAACAGCGCTTTGATATGACAACAAAAACGGTTGTATGTGCCTGTCCCAGTCTCGTTGCCGTTTTTCCACAACTTTCGCCAGGTACCTTTCCAATGTCTGATTAAATCATTCTACCATTCCATCAGATTGTGGGTGGTAAGAAGTTGTTCGTGTTTTATGAGTACCCATAACTCTGCAAGTTTCCTGGAATATTTGAGACTTTCCTTCCTTGATCGCTGTGAATCTCTAAAGGAACTCCAAAACGACAGAAGACTTCATGAACTAGTTTATCTGCAATTGTTGAAGCTTCTTGATTTAGAATGGCGAAGACTTCTGGCCACTTAGTGAAGTAATCCATCACAACCATGAAATACTTGTTACCACTTTCACTTTCCGGAAACGGCCCCGCAACGTCAATGGCTATCCTCTCCCATGGTGCACCAACATTGTACAATTTCAATACGCCTCTACTACGAATTTGAGGTCCCTTTACAGCCGCACAACTTGTACATTTGCGGCACCAGTCCTTGACATCGTCACGACAGTGGACCCAGTAAAACCGTTCTCGGATTTTCAGTAGAGTTCGTTTAACTCCCAGGTGGCCTCCTGAACAACCACTATGGTACAGCTGTAGAACATCCGGTACTTTAGCCTTAGGGACAACCATTTGCAAATGACAACTGTCTCCCCGACCATTTTCCCATTTACGGCACAGGACTCCATCCTGAATCAGCAAGCTGTCCCATTGGGTCCAATAGCTTTTCGTGGTCGAACTCATTGCTGAGACGTCGCTACACTTGGGCTTAGGAGCACTGGCCTTCATCCATTCCAGAATCGGCTTAATGTCCGAATCTTCCTGCTGTGCATGTTGTAGGCTGTCCTTCCACTCATTGCTGAGCTGGTCTGTCCTGAGCATTCTCACAGATACCACTTCCTTACCCTCTTGCCTAGTACAATGCTTGCAATCTTCAGGGCAAGGTCTTCTTGACAATGCATCTGCATTGCCATGAGATTTCCCGCTGCGATGTTCGATCACAAAGTCGTATTACTGCAGTAGTTCAATCCATCTCGCAACTTGTCCTTCCGGATTTTTGAACTGCAATAGCCATTTGAGTGCAGAATGGTCAGTTCGTAAGTGGAATTTCCGCCCTAGAAGATATTTGCTAAAATGCTGCAAGGACTTTACCACAGCAAGCAATTCCCGTCTTGTGACACAATTGTTCCTTTCCGGCTTTGACAACGACTTGCTGAAGTACGCTATCACAATCTCTTGATCACCATTCCGTTGAGACAACACACCGCCAAGTCCTATATGACTTGCGTCTGTGTCAAGTATGAATTCCTTGCCTGCATCAGGGTACCCCAAAATAGGTGTTTTGCACAGACGGTTCTTGAGCTCCTGGAATGCAATGTCGCAACTTTCATCCTAGCAGAATTGTCGCTTCTCCTCGGTTAGCTTGTGCAGAGGTTTGGCTATATCTGCAAAGTTCTTCACAAATCGCCGATAATAAGAGCACAAACCCAAAAATGCTCTAACCTGTGTCTTGTCTTTTGGGACCGGCCACTCCTTGACAGCAGCAATTTTCTCTGGATCCGTGCGGATACCTTCTTCCGATACTACATACCCCAAAAAACTAACTTGCCGTTTGAATAGTGAGCACTTCTTTGGACTCAACTTGAGGTTGGCACTCTGGATCTTCATGAGCACGCGTTCCAGGTTTTGAAGGTTCCTCAAACGTACGGCCTACGATGATGATGTCATCCAAATAGACGAGACAGGCATCTCCAATTAGCCCGGTAAGTACAAGCTCCATCAACCTTTCAAACGTTGCTGGAGCATTGCACAATCCAAACGGCATGACTTTAAATTACCACAGGCCCTTTCCTGTGGAGAATGCAGTTTTCTCCTTGTCCTTAGGGTCAATTTCAACCTGCCAGTAGCCACTTTTCAGATCCAGCGTACTAAACCACTTTACGCCTGTAAGCATGTCCAGCGTGTCATCAATTCTTGGCAAGGGACTGTCCTTCTTCGTAACGTCGTTCAGGCGGCGGTAGTCAACACAAAACCGCATGCTGCCGTCCTTCTTCTTTACCAGCACCACAGGTGAACACCATGGACTAGATGAAGGTTCAATAACACCATCCTTCACCATTCCCTGAATCATGGTTTCCACTTCCTTTTCACGTGCTACAGGCAATCTTCTTGGCCGCTGACGAATAGGCAATTCTTGTCCTGTGTTTATTTTGTGTTGAATTAAGCCAGTCTTTCCTATGTCAGCTTCGTTTGACGAGAGAACATTGGCGTACTTGAGTAACAACTTCTTCGCTTTGACAGTTTCATTCGGGGAGAGAACGCTGCGACAGTCTTCTAAAAGTGTGGTCACTCTAGTTTGTCCAGCCTTGCTGGGGGTCCCAGTCGATAGATATTCGCACCGACGCAACCAATCCACTTCCTCACTAGTACAAACCAATGTGCCTTTTTCTATAATCTGTTCCTGATCACAAAGGTTCAGCACACGTACTCCTGAGATGTCGGCGGTTCTGATCAAGGTTCGAGCCACTTTCCATGGAAGGTCTTTCTCTTAGGATTGTCTACCCTTTCCACGAGTACACAACGAAGAGTTTGCCCAGGATTCCGTGGAAGTCTAACCGGCACAATCGTTTCCGATCTCGGCGGAAGAACAATCTTCTTAAGGCTGTACACATTCCCTGGTAACGCCCCTTCCACGAAAAGTTCCTCTTGTCCACATTTCAAAACACCTTGCTTAACGTCGATCTCACAACAATTCTTCCTCATAAAGTCTAGGCCCAGGATGCAGTCGTCCATTTTATCAGCCACGATGACATTATGCAGGTAGATCATGTTGCCTAGCTTCAACTCCATCTCCTTCTCTCCACGGACGGGTATGCGCTGACCGGTGGCTGTCACCAAATTAATGCGTTCTCGGTTGTATGCGGAAGTCCCCAAGGAACCGACTTATATGTTGGGAACTGACAACCGTGCGAGAGGCTCCAGTGTCTATGGTCAGTTTACATGGCGTTCCGTTGACTTCGCCCTTGATGATTAGGCTGTTCCCATCATGAGTTTGTGAGATCGAAATCCTTGGGGGTCTTTTAACATCAGCCAGCACCCGCCAGTTTCCCTGCTGCTGCTGGGCGGTGCTATTATCCGCACTACCCTCTCGAGATCGATCACCTTCCCTTTCTACAGTTCGCTTAGGGCAGCTGGATCGAAGATGGGCCCTTTCTCCACAGCCGTAGCACCTAGGGCTGTAGCTTTTATTGCGGTCCTGAACTGTAGCTGCTGCAACCTCCCTGACGCGGTGGGAACGATGATCCTGCCGCACGGCTTTCACCTCCAGTGCATGGGTCAAGGCCTCCTTAAGCGTCTCGTGGTGCCCGAGCCTCACAGCAGCTCTGACTTCAAGGTCGCAGATGCCGTCGATGAATGTCTGCACCAGGTTCCCTACAAAAAGCGCAGGTACAGACTGGTACGATTTTCGAACCAGCTTCTCCACCTCAAGGGCCCACTGCTGCAGGTTTTCGTTACTGCGTTGCACGCGATCTTTGAGCTGCGCACGAAAGACGTGTTCCAGGTGAGCGTCGCCATATCTCGCCTCCAATGCCTCAAGGAGCTGCTCGTAAGTCACTTCCTTATCGAGAGCTTCCAGAACAGTTAATGCCTGGTCGCGCAGGCCTAGGGTGAGAGCAGTCATGGCCTGACTTTTATTCCAGCCGTTCGCTTTCATGACAGCCTCGAACTGGATTTTATAGGCCGACCAGGAAGAAGTCCCGTCGAACGGTGGCACTTTGAATCCACGTCGCGAAGGTGTTGTAACTACCACGGGAGCTGTAACTCCATCCCCAATTTTGAGGTCGTTCAGCGTTTTCTTCACGTCAACCATCACATTGTCAACCCGATTGTACACTTGGTCGATTCGGGTTTCAGCTTCCGACAGGCGGTTGTCATATTGAGCAACCTTATCCTTCACCTCGCTTATTTCTTTCCCGAAGGTAGCGTGAAGGTCCTTCATGAGAAGTATCTGCTCTTCCTTATCGCGTTTTAGCTGCTCTTTTAACCGACGGCCCTGTTCCTCCTGTTGGCGGGATTGTTCCTCCTGTCCGCGCTGCAGCTGCTCTTCCAACCGACAAGCCTGTTCCTCCTGTCGGCGGGCCTGATCCTCCTGTCGGCGGGCCTGTTCCTCCTGTCGGCGAGCTTGTTCCTGCAGCATCATCATCAGAGTACCTAAGTCAGGTGCTGCAGATGCAGGAGCTGCTGACGGGCCGACCTCCGTGGTCGGCAACTGGCCTGCCGACGTCTGTGACGTTGCACAACCAAATTGTTTCTGGTCCGTCTCCTGTTGGCGTTGACTTCGGGTACGGATACCCTCGGTGTCGTCTTTAGGTAAAATCGGCATATTTGATCCCACTTCTGACACCAATTGTTACGAGCTTGGGGTTCGAGACAATTAAAAACTGCCGATTGAATTACCAAAATTGACACTTTAATTACACAACACTCATTACAATCTAAAATCTCACTAATAATAAAACACAGTTCGCCGTTATTTCGCTTCGAAGTATTCTCTTGTATCGCCAATCCAATACTGACTCGGTCGCGGTCTATACTGGCCTTATATAGGGCCTCAGGTAGTTTTCAGAACCTTCTACTATAGAAATATCTAGAATGTTCGAGCTCATATCGGTCCCGATATTTTTAGAAGGATCTTGTCTGTCCTAGTTCTGCTACTCGACACTAGAGCGCGCGAGAATTCAAAGCGAAATAACTGCGAACAAAAGTGATCAGTAGTGCAATTGTGTTTTATTATTAGTGTGCTTTTAGATTGTATTTAGTGTTCTGTAATTAAAGTGTCAATTTTGGTAATTCAATCGGCAGTTTTTTAATTGTCTCGAACCCCAAGCTCATAACAATATGCTAGTAACAGAATACCTCGGAAAAACGCAAAAGGTGTGCAATGAATGGTAAATCAAAATCCATTACCCAGGCGTGGCGATTAACGCAAATTTACATTAATGAAAAATTAGGAATAGAGTAAAGTTTATGGAAATAAAGTCAAAATTAGATACTTTCTTATTAGGTTTCATATCTGTATGGAGAATGGGTCCACCACAAATTTAACGAAACTTGATGAAATGCAATGTCGATTTATTCCCTATTAATTAATCTATAGATTAAAATAGTTATATTAGTTTTACGGAATTTAAACGAAACATTTTTGTGTGTTGACCGATTCATTTAAAACTTCTACATAATAGCTTCTGAATTCGGGGCTTAATTCTTCGATAAGCTATGTGTTAGCACAGACTTCTGAAGCTAAATAAATTATTTTATTATATTGTTTTAGAAGTTGGTTAAACTTTTTTTTAACATTAATATTAGCGATATACTTTAGTGATGTACTATATTATGCGTACAATTATTTGATAATCCTAAGTTAAAGTAATTCAGTAGAAGATAAGTAAGTTAAGAAGTAAATTGTGTATAATTTACAGATTATTTTTTATTTTAACGCACTGTTTCAACGAGGTTTATATTTTAAATAACAAATTTTGAGATTTAAAGAAGAAACATGAAGTAATTCGCTCGAGTATACTTATTCTTCACTCAGTGATCCAAGTTCAGCATAATTGTTTATGCTCTAAGTTTTGCAAACTTATCCATGTCCCAACTTCAGTTTAACTCATACGTAAGAACTCTAACACCTGTCATTGTTACTGTTGTCAACTTTAGGGAAGTTCCGAATTTGCAGAGAGCGTATTAGCTTTTAAAGTTGCAATAGCGTCCTTTAAGTTGACATTATAAAAAATTGTTTTATGAACACAAAATATATGATAAATGAACAAGAAAGCTGGTGGTCATTATTAGAATTTTATCAAAGGATTGATCAGGATCAAAGGACAGGATGTTGTGAAAAATATTGGAATATTAATATATATAAATAAATATAAATTGGAATATAATAAATATTTCTAAACTTTCATTTTCAAAACCTCCCTGCGTTATGTTGTTGTTTTTTAATAATGTTTAATACATTATGGGAATCTAGGGCGACTACCTCTTTACACTTTGTGGCCTGCTGATTAATGGATTAGGCTCTGACGACCGACTGTGATAGTCATTAAAAATGCTGAAAGCAGGTGCAGCCAAAATGACTTCAAAACACCATCAGCCTATGGGCAAATGCCTATAAGGGCACATTTTACCTCTTTACAAAGGCGTGTTTTTACCCTTGGCAAGTGTGTTATTTCTATTTTCAGAAGTTTCAAAGCCAAATTATATATATTTATGTAAGAAACTAGCTGTTTACCGCGACTTCACACGCAAGGAATATATTACGATTGGATTTCATGAGTTTACATTCTCTTACGCGTAACCCTAATTATTTTTTTAAAATAAAAGTAGCCTAAGTTACTCCTTATAACACCAGCTATCGGCTAGTGAAAGTTCCATCAAAATCGGTCCAGCCATTTGGAAGATTACCTGGAACAATCAGACAGACAGACAAAAATTAAAAATAGACACTTTAACTTTATTTATATGTGGTATGTATGTATGCATATTCATATGTAGCATGCGAAAGATCTGCCTCAATGTCAGAACTGCCTTTTCCAACCGGAACCAATATACAGACAAAACAAAAAATATAAACGCAATTAAAACTAAATTAAATTGCCCCCCAAGCCGGCCGATCACCGTGGGGGAAGCCGATCATCACCCTCCAACAAATCTGCCAACTAAATCCAATACTAAAAAAGTTAAACAAAAACGAAGTAGTCTACACATATGTACACTAAACACACAAACTTTAAGAACACCGGAAAGTTTGCAAGAGCTAGAGTTAGCTATTAAAAACATCAAATGGGACATTTTGGGCATAAGCGAGATGCGAAGATTAGGGGAAGAAATAGAAGAGAGAAACCAATTTATTATGTACCACAAAGGCGAAGTCGCTGGACAAAGAGGAGTAGGATTTTTGGTAAAGCTAAACCTTAAAAGCCAGATCATTGGGTTCGAAGGGGTATCAGATAGAATAGCGGCAATTCATATAAACTTACCAAAATACCCGAAAAAATGGACAATCATCCAAGTATACTCGCCGACAGAACAAGCAATAAAAACAGACAGATAATTTTTACGACAAGC